AGTCTGGAATGATGGTGTCCTTCTCAAGGAATGGTGGGGGCCCTCTGCAGATGCCTGTTTTGCAGGTCCTTTTTCCTTAGCTTTACTGTGACCTTGCTCTGAGTGAGAAAAGAGAAATGACCTCTTATTCCTTGTTTGGAAAGCTGTTTCCCAGGTGTGAAGAGGTGGCTCAAGTGCCAATTTGAAGTTGGCCTGTGCTATTTCCTAAGGATTTTTTTCCCCCTTAGGAATGGGTGCTGATCAGTTAAAAACCAAAGCCAAACAAGTTAAATCATTGCAACTGTTTACTGATGGAAACTTTATATGCAGAAAATCCTGGCTTCAATATCTGACATTTCCAGGTAGCCTGCAAAAATTCACATCTAAAACCCTGGACAGCTGCTTGCACATGATAGTTAGTTAGATGGGTCAGGTTCTGGTTCACTGTACGACTGCATCCTATGTGTTAGGCCTATTCCTACCCTGCTTTGTCTTTTTCTTTTCATAGTGTTACATGTATTTGATTTCTGTGCCTGTGTTATCCTGGTTTCTCCTTGTTTACTTTCACTGCATCTTCATCCTTCCATAGATGGCAATTGAGTGGTTTGTTATTGGCTCTATGGTCTTATTTCTTTTCTCTAGGACCATCATCTTTCTATGTGCGGTCAGAGGAAGAGTGGGGAGAGAAAGCTGGATAAAAGGGCCTATGCACTGCAAGAGTTGACTGGCATCCTCTCCTTACTGTGCAAGTCCACACTCAGCCATGGAGTGTACTTGATGACTTTGGATCAGTCATTTCTCTCAACCTAACATATCTCACAGGGCTGTTTGGTGGGGATAAAATGAGGGGATCCCTGTTACCCAGGTAGTGAGCTCCCCAATGAAAAGTGGGGCATAAATAGTTAATCAATCAATCATTGTTGGACTCATGAGACTGCCCCAGGGACCCATTAGTGGAATTGTCACTTAGAAATAGTTGGCAAATGGGGATGCATTAACTTATGAGAAACTGCCCTAGTCAGAGGATTTTATGAAAATACATAAATTCTCCTTTTTCTCAGTGATGGGTATTGTTATCATTATGAGGCATGAGTGGGTGGGTCGAGTCTCAGAACAGCTTGGACAGAGTTCAGACCACTCATGTATTAGCTTTCCCAACAGACTAGGCTATATAAGTCAAAGCCACAGTGCCCATTAGGATCTCTGCCCAAAATACTTTGATCCAATGGGTAAACTAGCTTTGAGCTGTATCTGCAGCAACACTGATTTCTTCTTTTATAAGCAGCTGCATTTTTTCTGGGTTTAAGTTCAAAACCATTAATGTTTTGCAGAGTTTTTTTTTAATTTAAAAAATGAACCATATGGTCTTTTTCATAATTCTTCAAAACATTTGTTCACTCTCCTCTAAACTAAAATTCATTATCTCTTGAAGCATATTGCTCTTTTGTGTGTGCCTGTTGCCATCATATGCCAAGATATTCAGTTTAAATCCTTTTGCATCTTAAATCATTTTAAATCCTTTTGCATTTACGGATGTTTGTGTTCCATTACTATAAATATCTGGAAACAAGAAAGTTGGGCTCTGGAAATACTTGAATAGTGTAATTATTTATCCTTCTTCTTTTTTTTTTTAACTGTGTCCAACCAAAGAGATCTCTGATCCAACATTCTGCTCCCATGGTGGCAAATTTGCCTAAGGTCATCAGAAGCTCTCCAGAGCACTTTTAGTCACCAGTCTTCTTTCCATAGGTAGCAGTGAGCTGAGAATATCTGCCCCTCCACACCAGATTTTTCAGGGAAATACAAACTCATCCAGTTTAGCTGACTTTCCCAACTTCCAGCTTGTCAGAGTTACATTTTTGCTTGCTCTTCATGGTCTTCATTGAGTTTGTTTTCGTTATTTAATCTGAGGACTAGAATTAATGCCTATGTTGTGATTTTACTGTTACTTTAGATCAGTGTTTTTCAAACTTGGCGACTTTAGGTGGCGTGGACTTCAACTCCCAGAATTCCCCAGCCAGCACACTGGTTAGATTACATTATCTCTATGCATTCTGATTGTTTAGAAAAGAACATAGAGCAGGGTGTATAGACTTTCAGTCTCATAATTAAGGCAATAAATGGGGGAAAAGAGATTGCCTTAATGAGTGCTTTATTTAGAAAAAGGTTCATATCTATTACTGTTGGTAATTGCAGTACAATTGGATTATAAAGATTTCTCTTTTCTCTGTTATGATCATGCATCATCACAGAGTTCAGGAAGAAAAATCAATTTTCAGCTCAAAGGTTTTTGTCAGCATATGCTATTAGAAAAAGAAAAGGAAGAAAGCTGACCTTTGTTTCATGGTATAGATTACACTGAGACTCTTATCTAACAGCAGTCTACCAGGAATCATTTCACCATTGCCCCTAAATACATTTGACCTATGGGTTTATACTAAAAAAAATAGCAAGAAATGCAGTGAAGATTTTTGCATCTTTATTTAGCAAAATGATGGATCTAAATGAAATAATGAGACTCATCTTTTTTTTTTTTTTTAAACAGGTAGCCATTACTTTATTTTAGAGAAATGTCAAGACAGCAATGGCAACATACCTCTTTCTAAGGTCAGATTGAAAAAGGATGCCAAATGAGGAACTTCAGCAAAAATCCTGTAAAAGACTATCAGTCTTTATTGTGCCTCTTGGACTTTCTTAGCTGTATTCATGTTCCTATTTATGAAGAGGTCTAATTCAGTTATTGGAACTTCCTTCCAAAAACAGGGCTTCTAGTAGGAGCAATTGTCCCCTGATCCTTTTATTCTTGAATACTGTATATTTTCTATAGTAAGAAGGAAAAAAGATGGAAGAAGTTAAGAAAGATTGTACATTTGCAGGATAATTTTTCATTTTAGGAAAATATATAAATACATGTTGAGGTTCTAATGTTATAAGAGAGGATGAAAACTTTCTAATAATAAACTTCATACTATTCATAATTCTGTTCTGGTCTCTCATGCCTCTCTTATTTTATTTTTTACAACAGCATCCACATCCTGAAGCCTTTGCTCATAGGGCAGATAGTAGACTGTACTGTCCAAAATCAGCTTGCAATCACAAGGAATCCTGGTTGATCCCTTTCTATTTTCTTTGATATTTTCCCTTGGACCTAGCCTGGTATATATTTTTCCTTATTTTTAATGATACTTTAGAACTCCATTTTATTATTTAACCTTATTTCTTTCATGCATTGTGATAAATACAATCATCTGAGCCAATACTGATTCCTATACTGGGGCTAAAAAATAATTTAAAATAACAATTGTAAGTCCCATTTCTAAATCTAGACAATAATGAATAAATATGACCAATGTGCATTTTTTTTAAAAATCATGAAAAGGGAGTTGCTTTTTCTGGTGGGAATACAAATGGATTTGGATAAAGAAAGCAGAAGTAAAACCAAAGTTTTCATTCAGGCCTAATTGGGATGCTGTACACAGTAGTTGCCGAAAGCAAATGGGTCAAGTACTTCAAGGCAGCTGGATGATAAAAACATTTAATCAGTCTCTGAAAATAAGAAGCAACATTATGAACCAACAAACAGAAACAAGTACAGTACAAGCAAAATATTCAAAGCTAACACTAAAAAGTCTTTCTCTTCTCATTCCACTGCTTTACAACAAAGCTACTTCTGAAAGTAAGTGTTTGGCTTAATGCTTGCTTCCCAGTTAAGGTAACTTGAGAACAGAACATTCTAATTAAATTCAGGTAGCTGCAAACAATCCTTCTTGGCAAGTGTGTCTGACTCTTACCTGCTAGGACAGATGTCTCCCAAGAAGTTCATAGATGCTTTTGCATAACATGTTGGATGAGAGTCCAAGAGACTAATTTGTAGCAATGAATTCATGGGCCACAGAACTAGAATGAAGTATGGTAAAGACTGAAGTCTATGCTAAGTGTAATTTTTTTTAAAAAGGAGAAGGGACTTTGAATACCAAAAAAAAAAAATCATTCAAAGAAAGAGAGAAAGCTTACAAGATAGATTTTTAGGACTTACTTCAGGCCTAAATACTCAGTACAAGATTTAGTATTTTTCAGGAAGTTCAAAGTTCCTTCAGAGACGGGGCAAGGTTGATCTTTACACCAAGCATAGGATTTTCTGCTCTCTAGTTTTAGAGCTGTATTCATCAAGAAGGGGAGGGAGAAAAATACAATGCTCCAAGGCTGGTAGAATGTGGTCATGTTCAGGCACACTGAAATCAGAACTGGATGTAAATCAATTGTGACTGTAATGAATGAGACATGGGCAGGATCTGTGAGGCACCACGGTGATTGTCATCTAAGATGCAGTAGCTATTCCGTAGAGCAAGACAAACCAAGCATCATAATATCTATTGTACAGAGCACATCCCATGTAATTAAGGGAGAAGTAGGAGGCTTTGGATAGGCCACATATTTAGAGGACCAATAGCACTGATGGAAAATTACTCTGGATTAGACAAGAGGCCTACATAGTCCTGCATCCTGTTATCACAGAGGCTACCCTGTAACCTGTCAAAACAGTAGCCCCTCCCACTTGTGATCTCAGCAACCTGTACAGAGGAGCATTCTTCCTCTAATACTGAAGATAAATAGTCATAATGGCAGGTAACCACTGACAGCCTTCTGCCCTCAAGAAGTTATCAAATCCTCTTTGTCCAGGCTGAAAACCATCATGACATCATGGAATAACTCCAGACTTTAATTAAGAAGGAATACTTCCTTTTATTTATTCTGAATATCCCTCCATCCAGCTTTATTGGATGATCCTGGGAATTAATATTTTTAACCCTATCCCACTTCTTCCACACCATGCAGTATATTATCATCTATCATATCCTCCCCATTCAATGTTTTTCTAAGGGAAAAAGTCAATTTATTGTAATTCTTCATCATAGAACTCTACCCATACCCTTGATTATTTTGATCTGTCAAATTTTGCACCTTATCCAATTTGGGATATAAGTGAAGCCCACAATAAAGTTTGGCCAGGTAGAACTCACCAGCCGTTAATGCCCTCTTGTTCTAGTCCAATCCTTTTTGTCCCTCCTTTCCTACTGGAAGAGTTACTATTACAAGTCCAGCAATTCTTATACTTTGAAATGGAGCAACTTCTGCTTATCTTGTTTAGTGCTAATAGTGCAGAGTACAAGAGTACATGTGTGCTCTTCAGGCGTGTTAACACACTCTGCCAAAAACATGAGATTATGCTCTTTTACAGACTGATGGGTTACTAATTATAGAAGTAGAAGAGCTTCCAGGAAAGCAGATTTAATGGAAAGCAATCAGAGAGCAATGGCGCTCTTTGGATTCAGAGCCTATATATATTTTAAAAAAAGAAGTGAAGAGATACGTGAATTATTACTCTCTCTTCTGTCTTTCTTCACTTGTTCATAGCTTTTGTAGCTGCATTTTTATCAAAATGATGGGAGGAAATATCCTCATAGCATATTGTGAGAAGTTGACACCGTACAGAATAGAACAACAAATAACAAAAAAACAAACTTTATTTTTATTGGAATACATGATCAGCCCACACACTTTCCATTTGCTGGGCATTCTTTCTCACTAAGAAAATAACTCCTAGGGTCATCATAGTTCATTCTCTTAAAGGGACACATATAGATACACCTGAAAAGAATGTTGTTTAAATCTTGCTCTTTAACATAAAAGGCTCCAAAAGCAATTTGATGGATCAAAGAAAAGAAAAAAGAAATAAGAGTGGAAATAACATTGCATTAAAAAGAGGAAAACAGTGAAGCCAGATAGATTTGATCATAGTTACAAAATTTATAAGGGACCTTCAGTGTGAGATCTTCAACAAATTTGATAGCGCACTTATTTTTCATCTTATTCTCAGCTTTTTGGCCTTTTGGCCTTTTGGCTAAGAACCACCTCATTCTGTCATAAGTTCATTGAATCATATATGAACCAAACCTCCATGTACATTATAAGGTAAGTAAAACTTTAGAGAATAGATGTTGCCAGGTAGCATCTATGACATTAAGCAGAAATGATCCATAAGACTGCTTCCATATCTAAAAGTTCCAACCAAATTCTAGTTCTAAAAGTTAAAGGAGAGAGGGGAAGGCAATGAAAATCTCTGCTCTGGAGTCTTGCAAGGTCAGAAGAATTTTTTCCAATAATGGTTGCAGTTCTGAGAGAGGCTTCCAGGTAAAGCTTTTCTGGTGCTATTACCATATTTAGTCAACAGTTTTTATAGTGGTCAGGTGTTGTCTTCTATCTAGAATTTTTTTTTTTCTTGTCAGAAAAAAGGAGGAAAAGTCAGCTTACTGAACAATGCCTCTTCACCATAGTAGTAGTACTTAACGCAAAGGAACTCCATGGTCAATCTGAAAGTATTTAGATTTTGAACTTTAGAAATGTGTGTTATTAATGATCTACCTGTATAAGAAGTCATAGTTGAGTAACTTAGGTGGAACACGTTTTGCACATATAAAGTGGTTTTAGATGAAGTCCTCAGCTTTGCCACTGAAAGAAATCTGGTAGTAAGACTGCAAAAGTACAGTGGGATGCATCCCTGGTCTGACAGGAGAAAAGAGATTTGCATGTTCATTTAAAACATGTTTTACCCAATCTCTCTCTTCCTCTGAGGATATTCCCCCAAAGTTTAATCCTAAAATAAGACATATTTGTTTTACCATGACCCTTATTCCTTAACCTTAATGTTCTATTATTATGCACAATATTAGGGCTGTGAGAAGCAGTTGATGGAATGGTTTGTAAAACACATTGGCACAGAAATGAAGCCCCCTCCTTAAAACTTTGATGCTGCGGTTCTGAAGGCTTTCCCAGGTTGTTCATGCATGCATGAAGAGATAAAACTTTCATGGAAGGGGCCATGATGAGGGGCAAGAAAGGGGGAATGTTGGAAAACAGTGTACTTCCCACACAGCCTAATCTTGGATACCCTCCTGTCCTGAAGGTATATGAGGTAGTCACTCAATATAAGGGCAATATTACTGTAAGTACTCATTAGACAATCTAGTCCCATGTTCAAGAGACACAGTGTTCTTTTTTTTTTTTTTTAATGTGCCTTCGAGTAACTGTTGACTCCTGGAGATTGTGTGGACAATCTGCAGTTTTCTTGACAAGATTTCAGAAGTTGTTTGCCCTTGCCTCCTTCCTAGGGCTGAGAGAGTCTGGCCCAAGGTCACCCAGCTGGCTTTGTGCCCAAGGTAGGACTAGAACTCCCAGTCTTCCAGTTTCTAGGCTGGTGTCTTTATACCAAACTGGCTCTCACATTGTTCTTTACTGTCCTAGTGGTCATATTTCCCTTTTTTATATATATAGTAATTTTATTAAAAATTACAGTTGCAACAATAAAAGCTAATTCAAACTATAACAAGAATAAAAAGAAAAAAATAGAAAGTGCAGAAAAGAAAAAATAGAAAGAAAATAGAAAGGAAAGGAAAAATAAGAATATAATAAAGAAAAAGAAAAGAAATATATAAAGAAATGACTCCCCTCATTACAAGTATAAACAATTTTAGTAACTTACCATCTTCTCTTAAAATACAACAAATGATCTTTTCTTTTCATATCCCATCTCTAATCTATAAAGAAATCCTTGAAGCCTCATCATTTCGGTCCTGATGTCAGCAAACGACCATTACGGGTTACCACAGATAACAACATTTCTATTTTAACCTTGATCAAATAAACTAACTTTATATTCCTTCCATTTACTTTTAATAGTCTTGATCTTTAGTCCCCTCAAATAATGTCCTAGAACTTGATTTCTTTTCATTTTTTCTTTGTTCCATCTCACAAAATTCTTCAAGCCTCTTTTGTAAATCCAGTATAGGAAAATTATCTAGGTCACTCTCTTAGTTTGTTATTTGTATATCCCTTTTAATTATTAAGCTGGTTACTTTTGTATGTCCAGTGTCACATCTTTTTCCATGTCATTCTTGTAGGCTGTCATTTTTAAATCCACTTTTTATTTATTTTTTTTATTTATCAAACTTGTCACCACCCATCTCGTTGAAATGACTTTCAGATCAGTCTCAATCTTGTCAGGTAAAATTTGTTCCTCTCTCTTCCCCTCCCCCCCTTTTGTGGATGACTCTGTTTTTTAGTCATACCAGAACTGGAGTATTTTTTATACAAACCTGAGGGTGTCCTACCTCTGAGCTATAGTCCCTGAATGGTCATGCATGCTGACTAAAAACTGTGACTACCACTTGCAGAAAAAGTAATGTTGGTTATATTTAAAAAAAGAAAAAAGTATATTATAGAATTGTGGTTTAGGTTATATCATGGGCTATAGAATTTGACTAACTATTTAGGAAAAGCATCTTAGTAAAATTCAGCCTCGTCTTGCACATCTTCTGTAATCCCTCCCGCAGATGTCTGTTTCATTCCTGCAGATCTTTGTCCTACATATGCTGATGCTTGGAGGAAAGGCTAGATCAGACAGTTAATATTGGAGTGCTAAATTTAACAGTAAGATTGTGTGGGGCGTGAGACTTCAAGTGTGATGTGAAATAGCAGATTAGAAACGAAGTCTGCAATGCATGGTTTGTCAATTTACGAAGTGAATTAATGGCTTCCCTGTGACTTTTGGTCCAATCACACCTTGTTAATTTAAGCAATTTTGCTGCCAACAAAATGTTGAGAGGTGCATGTGAGGCTGTCACTTTTAGTAACCTGCTCCCAGAGCAAGAATGCCAACCTTAGATGATATTCTAGAGCACATTGGAGAGTTTGACTTGTACCAGAAAAGGGCATTTTTTATCCTGTGTTTGCTCTCTGCTGCCTTCACACCCATCTATGTTGGTATCGTTTTCTTAGGTTTTACTCCTGAGCACCGTTGCCGGGCTCCTGGGCTCCCTGAATTAAGAGCCAGATGTGGCTGGAGCCTTGAAGAGGAGCTGAATTATACCCTTCCAAAGAAAGAACCCTATGGAGATGCTTTCATTAGTCAGTGCCAGAGATACAATGTGGACTGGAATATATCTGGGCTCAACTGCACAAATCCAATTAATTTTTTCACTGCTCACAGCAACCTCAGCAACATTCCTGTTGTTGCATGCCAAGATGGTTGGCTTTATGATTTCCAAGGTTCATCCATTGTGAGTGAGGTAAGATCCCTGCAATAATCATAAATTGCTTGCTAGGCGATAAAGTTAATATAAAGAGCTAAACCTCTGCTAAGCCACTTTGATATAATTTTTATTATATTTTATAATTTTTTATATAAATTACATTAAGTGTTTGAATTGGTTGCCATTTTCTTCTAAGTACTTCCTTACTTGCTTGGCAAACGACCTTTGGACATTCCTAAGTATGGTAACATTTTCTGTGAAAAAATTATTAATTAATAAAACATATTGTGATTGGCCTATGGGGCCTGATTTTTTTGTGCACCCTGTATAAATGTTCTAAATAGGTATTTTTTAAAAGCCTTCAACTTCAAATAGAAAATGTGGATTATATTGTTTAAATTTATTCAGAGAGGACAAACATCAAAGAATGAGACATGAAATAATAATCCTGCACAACCACCTTGAAATAATTTGGAATTACATGACAGAGTTCCAGATTTTGTCATGTTTAGAGGATGACTCACTGATAATAACAGGGTAACTTGGGCATGCTGATGTATTTTTAATTGCTGAGATTTAATGTCTCAATTTTAATGTCTATATTTTATTGTTAAACACTCAATGCTATTTTCAGCAAAAAAGGTGGGGCAGATTTTTAATTGAATCGTGAAGAAACAATATCTTGACCTCTTTCTGAACCCAACAGGGAAAAAGGAAAGGTATATGGCTATTATATCTTAACAATATATTAGATACATTATTGCCTTTGGGTAAAATAATAGAAATATTGGGATAAATTTTGACGTACTTTCTCTAACATGGATGCTTCATCTTTTCAGTTTAACCTGGTGTGCAAAGATGCCTGGAAACTGGATCTATTTCAGTCATGTGTGAATGTGGGCTTTTTTCTTGGTTGCATAAGCATCGGATACCTGGCAGACAGGTGGGTGAGATTTTCCATGTTCAGTTGCAGTGTTTACTGTTTCTCTATTATGAAGAAAAGAGGGAGCTGCAGAGACTCCACTCTTTAGAATGGAGTTGCCTTCTGTTAGAAAATTAACACTTGGAACTGAACGTTATATTATGTATTCAGAAGGTGAGAATATTTGCTCTCACAGTTGGGCCTTTGCTGCCCTTTCATTTGGTCAAATGAGGTTCTATGCAACCTGAATATTACTTCGCGAAGGGAAAATCCATTCAGCCAGCAGGAAATAAAGTGGTCTGAAGTATTGTTTCCTGTGGCATCCTTCCCTGGTTTATGACCAATTAGACTTTATTAGCCAATTTGGCTAATAAATTTTATTTAGCCAGTTTGGTGTAGTGGTTAAGGCAGTGCCCTCATCTTAAAGTGGCCAAGTTTGGACAACACTGGGTTAAGGCATCAAGCTAGAAACCGGGAGGCTGTGAGTTCGAGTCCCACCTCAGGCACAAAGCCAGTTGGGTGGCCCTGGGCCAGTCACTCTCTCTCAGCAGGAGGAGGCAAGGGCAAACCACTTCTGAAACCTTGGCCAAGAAAACTGCAGGGACTTGTCCAGGCAGTCGCCAGGAGTCAACACTGACTCAAAGGCACACACACACACAAAAGATTTTATTTGTGTGCCACCATAATCTCCAAGGGCACCTGGAGGTTAGCAACAATACTATAACAATCACACAGTAATACATTTAAAAGTCTACGGTAAACAATAAAAATATGAAATTATATTAGCACAGCAAAAGGAAGAAATACAGTTAAACCCTGTCCTCTGAATTAAGCAACTTTTGTAAGGTTTTGGAGCTGAACAACCTGTGCAGGTTTTTGCAGGTCCTATGAACAGACCTTAAGAAGAGACACGCAATAACATACTGTATTGCACCACCTCAGGTCTGAAAATGCTTGGCATTTTCTCTCCCAAGCTTTTCAACATGCTTCCACCTCAGAGCACTCTGGATCAAGAGGACTACTCTACATTGATGAATGAGTTAAGAGAAATTTGTCTGGGGTTTAACTGGCAAATAATTCAATGTCTTCATAACATTAAAACTGTGCAACTCCCTCCTGACTTTTAAGTGTATAATAATGCTTGGGATATTTTTTCACTCTAGGTATGGCCGAAAACGGTGCTTATTAATTACCATCCTAATAAATTCCATCTCCGGTGTTCTTGTGGCCGTTGTCCCTAGCTACACATGGGTAGTGGTTTTTCGCTTGATACAAGGATTGGTCAGCAAAGGAGGCTGGTTAACAGGATATATCCTGAGTAAGACTGTTTATAGTTTAAATGTTCAGTTAATACCGCGCAGTAAACTACTGTACCTTTAAGCATGATTCTGACCCTACTCTTCTACAGAAATAGTCAATTAAAATAAAATATTAATATTTCCGTCTAACAACACTGGGTGACTTTTCATTTATTCAGATAAAAGTTGCCTTATAACTTTTTTTGTTACTTCAGAATGTACCAATAGTCATCTTTGCTAATATGGAAAGCAGCTTATTCACTGTGTTCATAAAGGATGCTTGGCACAATCAATAAAGTATACATGAGACGTAAGAATATTTGCAGAGAGGGTCAAAACATTCATGGTGGTGGCCACAGCCGTGCAATCTGAGCCACGCGATCCGTCATGACATACATTAAAAAGGGATGGGGCTCAGATCACATGACTGTGGCCACCATCTTGAATATTTTAATTCCCTTGTGGACAGCCTTGATGGGATGGCAAGTTTAGGGCAATTTTAATCTATCTGAGTTGGGAAGGTTCATAAAAGTCTAGGAATATACTGAATACTTTTGATGGTGTCATAGAAAGATATACTTCACTGTTTCGTAGAAGTTTAATTTTGAATGATGAATAGTATCTCTCACATTTAAAAAAAAATGGAAACTTTCCTAATTGAGTAGTACATGTAGAAGACTAAAATTTAGCTCCCTTCAGGTAATGATGGTGGTGATGATGATGATGATGATGATGATAATTTGGTTACTGTTTATTTAATTTCTTCTCCCCTTTCAAAGTTGCAGAGTTTGTTGGCCTGAACTATCGAAGAACGGTTGGTATAGTTTATCAAGTGGCCTTCAGTGTTGGACTCCTTGTCCTTGCTGCTGTTGCTTATGGAATTCCCCACTGGAGATGGCTTCAACTTGCTGTCACATTGCCAAATTTCTTCTTCTTACTCTATTACTGGTAAGTAAGACTGCCACTGTAATCAAAACAGAAGAAACACAAGAATACAAATAAAATATCGTTACCAGGAAGAGCCTTTTGGGGTTCTTAGATTGGGGCCTAACTAGATGTTTTATTTTTCCAGAAAAAAAATGCACCGGTAGCCAGCTTTGCTTTGGCTGTACTACTCATATTTAATATCCCAAGATGTTAATATTAGGGATGTGTAATCTTTGGATTCAGAATTTTGGAACTTTCAGCATATGCCTTTAAACAGCTGTGTCTTTTCTTGCAGTCACTTGATAGCTACAGAGGGCAGCTGCCTGATCCTGGGAAAAGTCATGCTGCTTTAAAGTGTGACAGATAGGTGCTATATTCACGGTTCTGTGCACTCCAAAGTATATTTTGTCAATTATTTCCAAGTTAGTATATTGTACTTTAATTATGAAAGGTCATTGAAGATTGGACAATATTAATCCATGTTAATATCTGAGAAAGGAACTGTTGTGTTGTAAGGGTTATCCGAGTTTGGTTCTTCTTTTGTGGAAGTTTCATGTTCCACCTAGGCAACATCTTCAGTGCTGTGAACTTGGGGAAAAGAGCTTTGTTGCTTATTGTGGAAATTGGGATTAGATCATCTGTGCTGCTGCATTTTGTTTTCTATGTGATTGTCATGCCATTTTTGTTATAATGATGTGGTGCCATCCATTGTAGTCCCATCTCACGCAACTATTAAACAACACCCAGATAAGCAACAGATGATACTGCATTGGCATTACAAGAATTAAATATGTCAATCACATGGAAAACAGCAACACTCAACAGCACAGCCCATCCAATCATATACAACACTGGTATGACAGACAACTATATATTCCCCAGCTTACCAAAAAATCTCACTCCTCCAAGATCATAGTACTGAGATATGACCTAGGTGGGTCAAACGCAGACAACTCCTGACACTCCAACCCTGAACTACATATATTCTTTACCATCATGAGTTTCATCAAGTTGCCATGCAAAAGGGAACTTGGACTGGCTCCCGCATACTTGCCATAGGGAAGCTGAATCTTGTTTCCAAAATAATGTCTCAGCCAGCTCAAGACAAGCCCTATGTCATCCTGACTTTCTGTTACCATCAATGTTACATAGATACATTGCTTTATAGGTGTCTTCCAGAATCCCCAAGATGGTTGATAGCCCAGCAGGAAGATGACAAAGCCCTGAAAATTATTAAACGTATTGCAAAGGGGAACCAAAAGAAGCTGCCGCCATCCATGGAGGTAATCAGACCTATTTCCCTGCAAACCTACCCCTGGTGTGGGTATGCTATGCAGATAATATTCTGAAATCTGGATTTAGCACCCCATTTGGCAAGCCAGGATTCTGGAAGCATGGCAGAACTTGTAATTTTCAAAGCACACTTTGCAGACTTATTGCCTCAGTTCAGCCGACTGTGGCTTATGAGCATATAGCTTTATGTTATTTTGAGCTTCTTAAATGAAGAATGTGGTATAAATATAATAGTAAATAAACAAGAAGCTTAACACGTTAGCAAAGCAAAGGTTACCCCAGCCGAGTTGCTTCCAGGTGGACATTACCATGAACTCTCTGGAAGAAAAAAGGAAATCCTTGTTAAATAAGGATTGTGTATAGAGAAGTGACTGTAGAAGGAGGCTGGTGGAAGATGATTTTCCTCCCTAGGTGTAGAAGATGTCTCTGATTTCCAGAGATTCCATTCCTACTAATATCTAGGCAACACAACTCCATTCAGGAGGGTTCAACAGCTGGTGGGAAAGGCATTTTTGGACAGATTAGGCTGTTGAGAGGAGGACAGGATGGGAAAGTCACCTCTTTTATTGGCACTTCTGAATCCACTCCACCATGCTTTCTCTCAGTCCTGAAATAAACATGGACAGCAGACTAACATTTGTGTTACAAAGTAGGAACATATTTCCTTTTTGATAGCTGCCTACTGTGCTTCCGCAGGACTGACAAATTTGAAATTCCATATATTTTTTATTTAAAAAATTGAAAAGCTAAGTCCTCCCACCAGAATCCCTATACCATGATTTCAATCATCCTCAACACTGAAAAATGTTTTGTTTATCCTAGAAACTTCAGCCTGAAGAAGAAAGAAGTGATAAGCCTACCCCTTCCTTTTTGGACCTGGTGAGAACGCCACAGATAAGGAAACATACATTAATCTTAATGTACACTTGGTAAGAAAAGTTTATTTTTAAAAAAGGTCCAAAGACATCTCCATGTAGGTCCAGCTTTACCATCGGGCCAACTCAGAGAGAGGCCCGCAGAAATAGTTAATAAGAATGGCATCAAGAAGAGAAGAAGAAAAAGAACAGAAGAGACAGCAGTGTGCCATTGGAATCAAGCCTGTTGGGTCAGCATTGTCAGTGTTTTTTCTTTTAATTAAACTGCTAGCTATCTAGCTTTTGCCTGTGGAAGGGAAAAGACTAGCCTTGTCTGTCACTTGAGCAGAATGTCTTGGCTCAACCCTGTCTTCATGGAAACAATCCATTTTCTCTCACACCTGCAACTTTTGAGAGGAATCTTTATACTTAGCCAAGTTCTTTAATTGCTTGAACTGGAATTTACACATTGTGATAAGCCATTGTTTGATTAGCCGCATTTCAGTGGTTCATCTCAGTTAGCCAAATTTAACATCCTAGGCCATAAAATTGTGCTTTACAAATCACAGTGGTTAGGCTCACCCAACAACACGCTAAGCTAAAATGAAACAAACCACAGTGTGACGAAACAGGTGTGAACCAGGCCTGCTTTTATAACGCAATGTGTCTGGGCATTACTGTCAATGGGTAGCCCAAGTGTGCTTTATATGCATCAATCCTCTAAGCTCTTAGGCTCTAGCCACACTCATGTTTAATTTTAAACTGTCTTCCAGCTTTGGAAAATGGCCTGAAGCAATACAGGGCCTTCTGGGCGAAGAATGCTCTGCAGAAAAAAATGGCTTCATCTAGCTTCTACTTCTTTGTCTAGGTTTACCAGTGCTGCAGTGTATCAGGGCCTCATCATGCATCTAGGGATTGGTGGAGACAACATTTATCTGGACTTTTTTTACTCTGCTCTTGTGGAATTCCCTGCCGCCCTCATACTGATACTCACGGTGGACCGCATAGGCCGCCGCTTTCCCTGGGCTGTGGCAAATTTTATGACAGGAATCGCCTGCCTCGTTACTGCCTTAGTTCCCGAAGGTGAATGACATAGTGAGATGTTGTATGTACCCCTTTCTCTCTGACCCAGGGGTGAGCAACTGTGGCCGTGCAGTTGGGTTGAGCTCTGACATCCATGAGGCCAGCCAGCACGGCTAGTGGTGAGGAACGAAGGGAGAAGCAGTCCAAGCCATTAAGCACCAGGATGCGCTTAAATTGCCCACTCCTAATTGAAATGTATTGAAGAAGTCCAGTATGTCAGGTTTCTCCCCTAATCCAATGCTATTCTTTGCACGTTTTTCTGCCAGAAAATAACGTATAGAGCTTGTATCATTCCCCTCCCTCTCATGAACAGGGGGAGATAGAATTAGGAGACAATTTGGAAAATAAAGTGGTCCAGTAAGGAAAGGGCTAAGCAGATTTTCTTTGCCCACCCTTCCTTCATTCTGACATAAACAGTAAAATCCATCTATTTGTGCCATACAAATAAAAAATTGATGCCCCACCCCCACCCCTGCATGTACTTTGTACAATGTCTATTGGATAAAGTTGACTTCTGAAGCATGGACATATGTATAAATGCTATGCATGCTCTGGATTTTTTTATTTCTTTAGTAAATTTATAGGCCACCCATCTCATATACATTACTCTGGGCAGCTCACAGTTAAAACAGAATAAAAACAGTAAAAAAAAACAGAGAAAACATTAACAAAAATGTCACAAAAAGAGGAGCCGAGAAGACTCAAAACACTAAAACAAGCCATGACATGGGCTCACCCATGTTATCAGGGCCCCAGGCTTGATGACAAAGCCAGATTTTGGGGATGATGTTCCAGAGGGCAGGCACCACGGCAGAAAAGGCTCTCCTCCTGGGTCCCAACAACAACAGATGGGACCTGGAGCATACTTCTCCTGCCAGATCTAACAGGACAAATAGACGCCATTGAATACATAAAGTATCGTAAGCTTTTATTCTCTAAGTTTTTATATAATATATAAATATTCATTATATAAGTATTTTATTACATATAATTTTTAAAGAAATACAAAGAAAACAGCAGCCACTTGGGTCATCTAGACCACCCCAAATCTATGCAGTATCTTATTTCTATGCAGTTTGGAGGTTTTAAATCTATCTATCATGCCTTAATCCCTTATTCCCTGATAAATATCAGATGCTGTATGAGTAGCATCACTTATCCAATAAAGTAGAATTCCTAATTAGGTATGACTTCCCGTGCCACCTTTGTATCCCCCACTCATAAAATAAAAGCAAAAAGCAAACAAAAAAACCAAAAAACCAAAGAAGTTAAAAACCAGCATTAAACTGAGAATATCATTCAATATCTTTTCAGATCTCTATTGGCTGAAAATGACTGCAGCTTGCTTGGGCAGGCTGGGTATTACAATGTGCTATGAAATGATTTGCTTAGTCAATGCAGAATTATACCCAACATTCCTCAGGTGAGTGAATCCTCTTCCACTATCCTGGGTTGGGCTGGGCTGCCTTTCTTGCTCAAGTAGTCTTTGATGTTCAAATCCTGCTTCTGCTGCATGTGCATTTCCATCAGGTCATATTGTGAACGTTTTTCTAAATCCTTTTGGTTTCACAAGCTAAGGGAAATGGAGCCACCCAAAAGAAAACCTGATTGGTTCTCCAGGCAAAAGGAAGGAACTGGCCTGGGAAACATGGCTGACCATTTAACAGGATCATTTTTTAAAAAAATACACCCGTCATATTGTTTCAGGTTCCTTTGTACTGATAAAGATGAGGGTTGTTTTCTCTCTGTGTGTGCTTTTTTAAAGGAATCTGGGGGTTCTTGTCTGCTCTTCCATGAGTGATATTGGGGGGATCATAACTCCATTCATTGTCTATAGACTGGCAAATATTTGGCATGAACTTCCACTTGTTGTCTTCGGTAAGAATGATCTTTTGTTCTTTTGAATGGTTGAGGATAAGGGCACCATTTTTGCTTCTGTGATAGCAAGTCTCAGATTTCCTCCAGTATCTCAGAAGTATCTTGGCAGAACAGTACAGCCTGAATGACCTCTGGTCAAGCTCTTGAAAAGAAAATCTCTAAATCTCAGGGTCAGGGTAAGGGTAAGTGATGGAATTTGTAACTTGTTCTATTAAGCAATTCAGTTTAATCAATGATTCACATAATGTTACTCTTGGCTGCAAAGAGGACTTGTTCCTCTTCATCAGCAAAAAGGCAAACAGTGCCAAGCAGAGGAAAGATGGCGTTAGAGAGGCAGAACTGCACTGGTAGGAATTACAAGAAAAGGCAAGGGATCGGGTAGGAGTGACCTAGCACCCCACAGTCCTGAATTCTGGCAGGGT